TCATTTTGCAAACTGACCTAGAAGGCTGAGTGCTGAGATTACTGCATCATCTCCAATAGTGACTGTCAACATTAACTGCCCAACAATAAAAGCAAACTGGATTCAAATAACAGAATAACTTCAGAAAGTTTCCATTATTCATTAGTTAAGAAAGAGCAAGCAGCATTACAAGAAATGAACCACAAACAAGTAGGAAGAAATGCAAAATGAAACAAGGGAAAGAAATTTTTTATATGTTTAAACTGTTTTGTTTCAGATATTCTGATCTCATTAGGAACAAACATTTTATTTCAATCTTCGCAAGCAGAAAACAATTATCTGATTTTTGAGTTTACACAATACACAACATAACATCCAGTTAGGTAATTAAGCAAAAATCATTCATTTATTCAACACTTATTCACCCACTAAGTAATTCATATTTTCTATATTTTTGGTAACCTTACATATACACATAATTTTTTCAAAGAAATTATCACATGTTAACACAGTGACGGGATCCGATCTACCCCATCCAACAGATTTAGTTATGCAATCCGATACTGCACAACTCCCAATCACAACATAATACAAGAGTTTAAAATCCAAAAATGAAAACACAAAAATAAATAAATAAATTCCAGGTTCTTACCTGTCTATGAATCAGATCACCAGCCAAAGAATATGTGCCGACAGCCGCTACCCTAATCTCGTCAAAATCCAGCAACTAGACGACAGGTTGGGGCGGATCTTCAACTTGCGTTCATCCAGATCAGACCACCCAAGAACGAGAAAAAGATTTTCGTTGGCGATGTCAAGAGAGTGGGCGTCCTGACCAGATGCGTCATCGCTCAGCCCCTCACAGGCGATACAATTGCAATTTTGCAACCCACATCCTTCGGATGCGTCCGCTTCCGGCATTAATTCTTTTAATTTCTCATAGAGAAGTACGGTAAAAGGAAGAAGATAACAGGCCCACATATTAAAAAAGGAAAAAAAAGTCTTTTCTTTCGTTAAAACACACCGTTAAAACGAAAGGAAGGGAAGAAAGCTTGGTAAAGTCTTAACATTAAAAACATCCAGTTTATAGCCAAAAGTTTCAACAAACATTGAACATGAAATAATAATAATTAACATAAAAAGGAAATAACAATCACATAAAGAAAGAGCAACTGCCTGTAGCTTATGCTGTCAACTAATTAAACTTATGCACACATTATTTTTGTTAGATCTTCTTGGAGGAGGAAAGAAAGCCAACTGCCTGCTTCTGCTGTGGAAAAGAAAGCAAAATTACAAAAATTATTAGGACTATTCTATCCATTGTTATGCTTAGAAGAAGGAGCACAAATAAAAAGAGTCTGTAGAAACTCACCTAAGAGCGTTGGTTGGGTTTTTGGGTTTTTCTCTTCTTATGCCGATGGGTGCACCTTCTAACAAATTTCTGTTGATATTTTTCCACCTTGTTCACCACCCACCATGGTTTTCCTGTTATGAACACGATGTATCCGAGACTAAGTCCTAACACCAGCCCACATCCATAACCCGCCACTGCAAACTTCCAATTAAATAGTGTTGCACAGTCATCATCTTCATCAAATTTTGATGGAGGTGCTCTTGGTTCTTCCTTGTGGCATTTCTTTGTCAATGGGAATCCACACAGCCCAAAGTTTCCAATGTAGGAATCATTTGAGAAAGTATTGAACTGCTTCCCGTGAGGAATGTCACCTTCAAGTTTGTTGTGTGAGAGGTTCAGAACTGAAAGGAATGTCAAACTTGTCAACTCCTCAGGAATGCTACCATCAAGCTTGTTTGATGAGAGATCTAGTGATTCAAGTTGTGTCATTTTCCCCAAAGATGATGGAATTTGACCAGTGAGACTGTTGTGAGACAAGTTTAGCAAATGAAGTGACTTGAGTTCTCCCAGCTCTTCAGGAATGTGTCCGTGGAATCTATTACTTGAGAAATCAACAGTTGAGAAAGCCATCGGGATTCTCGTCAGCTCCACGTATGAACCTTTCAGTATTACCTTCACAGAATCATAGTAATGGGGATCAATAGGCCTTGAAATACTGGCACTAAAATGTGCACCCATATATACTAATCCACCTTCCTCTTCATGTACATCTCTCATACGTGTCAAATTTTTGAAATAGCTACTCGGCAGGAGACCCGTGAAGTCATTATGCGAGACATCAATGATTCTCAACCCAGGGAAGTAAAATGCAGGTGTAGAGTTGTAAATGGCACCATGAAATCGATTGGATTGAAGGATGAGAACTTTTAGCTCGAAAAGAACAGGTAACCAATGTGGAAAGGTGTCATTCAAGTAGTTGTTCCCCACATCAAGAACTTGCAAGAATCTGCAATAGCCCAAAGTCCGTGGCAATATCCCCTCCAACTGGTTGCTATTTAGGTTAAGAGTTATTAGTTGACTCTCGTTGACAAAAGAATTTGGTATTATACCATGAAACTTATTCATCTGCAAATCCAAGATAAAGAGATAACTCAAGTTTCCAAGACATTCTGGAATTTTTCCTCCCAAATTATTATTAGCTAAGATTAGAAAATTAAGAAAAGTCAAATTGCAATAAGAAGAAGGGATTTCGCCGATCAAATTATTCCCTGAAATGATGAGATGCCCAAAATCCCTAGTTGTTGATAGAATGGGAAGTGATCCTTGTAGTAAGTTGGAACTGAGGTCAACTTGGATAAGATTTTCAAAAGCAAACAAATCTATACCGGTCAAAAAGTTATAAGAAAGGTTTAAACTGACCAATGACATCCCTTCGATTTCCCATTTGTGAATTTGACCAGAAATCTTGTTCTTGGAAATATCCAATACTTCCAATCTCTCTGCCTTCCTTAAGAAACTTGGGAACTTGTGTATGTTGCAAGAAGAGAATTTTATAGACCAGAGGTTCGGAAAGGAATAGTTGACACCAGTGCTATTATTGCTCAAAGACAACAAATTGTTATTGGAAAGATCCAGATCCCGAAGGTTAACAAGTTTTGAAAGCATGTTGGCTGTAATGGTGCCACTTAAATTATTTGAAGAAAGATCAACCACGGCAAGATTCACAAGATGAAAGAAAGAGCTAGGAAATGAACCACTTATCCCATTATTGGACAAATAGA